GTTTCGATTATAAACTTCTTCAGCGTCATCGAAAAGCAATAAATTAGTAATTTTCAGAAAGACTTTGAGCGCGTGAGAAGCGTAGTAGTGCACTAAAGCGCGATCCAAACCAACGCTTCTTTTTGCGGCTGTAGGTCGTGCGGCTGCGGATGTGACGTATTTTCGTGACGTCGCGCCGCTTCTTCGCTCCTTCCGGGCGCGCACAAGAAAGTTGGATCATTTCAACTTCTTTCTCAACGCGCACAAAAACGCGCGGTGACGTATAGGGCGCTCCTGTGGCCCGGCCAATCGGTGGAGGGCAAGCTAGTTCCGGCTCCGCGTTTCTCGCCGTCTGGCTGCCCTCTCCTCCCCCCCTTCTATTCTCTTCCAACATGACAACGCGATCTCTCTCTCTCTCTTTTTCTCGCCGTCTGGCCGGCCAGTCTGTCGCAGTTGCACTTTGCTTGTGCGCTCGTGCCTGCGTGCGCGCTCGCCCAAAGTTTCGCCCGTCCAAACCAAAGCGCACGGTTCTGACTCAGAAAGCGCGCCCGGAAACAGCAAAAACGCCACGAAATGCGTCACATCCGCAGCCGCACGACCTACAGGCGCAAAAAGAAGCGTTGGTTTGGATCGCGCTTAAAGCTACCACTCGTGGAACAGGTACAAAGCTAGCGGTTGCGGTAAGGCGCCCGCGCGATTTTTCCGTCTCTTATCTAGCCCCAGCCTTGTACCTGCTCCACGAGTGGTAAAGTTGCTACAATACTACAATACTACAATACAATACTACAATAATACTCAAAGTCTTTCTGAAGATGACTGATTTTGTGGTTTTCGATGATGCTGAGCAAGTTTCTAATTGGAGCCATATGTCTATTTTATTAATTAAAAATTAATTAACGAAATTTAATTATTTAACCGGCTGATCGTTACAATTAGCCCCTTATAATATGTCCCCCTTCCTGTATAACTCACCTTCACAAGCGGCATAAGTGCAACTTTCACGGCTTTATTTAAACAAATCTGTTAAGCTTAAAAAAACCCTGTATATATATGGGTGTTTTCATCTCATATCGTGACGGCAAAAAGGGTAAAATTTTTAATTTCGCTGAAAAAATATATGTTATGCCGTCGTCTCTAAAAACCCAATAGCCACAAACCGCAAGTTCGTCAGATTTTTCGTTCTCGACTTACGAATTTTAAAACAGGCCGCGGCGAAAAGCAGTGTTTTTCACACCCGTCGTGGGTCCGATGTTTCGCTCGATCTCCCGCCGTGGATTTTCAGTCCACTTTATATTAACTTTTTTCAAGCACTCTGTGAGCACATCTAATAGGTTCCAATACCATGAAATAATTTTAGGTGTTATGCTTTTCTTCTGTAAAAATGTCAAAAACGCCCCATCGGTTAATTGTTGACGAACTTTGGCAATTAAATTCTGGCGATCTACCTGGGTTACATTAATGTTTTTTTATGGCTATAGAGAGCCCAAAACACGATATTTATATATATTGTCACGAATGACAATTGATGAGGTAATGATAACTGAATAAACTAAACGTTTAATGGGGCGAACTTGTGCCCAAAACAAAAAGGAAAGAGAAAAAAACAGCAGAGCGTCGCGTGCGTCGTCGTCGGCGAAACCGCAGGATCGAGCGCTGGGGCAAGACCACCGTGGGCAAGACTGACTCGACAAGGTTGCGGGCGGCCTCTTATCTAGAGAGAGTCACTATCTCGAAGATTCGGCGAAGAAGGCTCGAACGTCGCGCGCTCGGAGCGAGATTGAACACGCACTTTCTAGAACAACAAAAGCAGGAATACATGATAGAAGTTATGTCCGGAGCAAGAATAAACGAGAACCTTCTAGAAGTTCATAACCCTGCGCGCGGCAATATGAATCAGCTGTTTAAAATATCCTTTGCGGGACGTTTCTGTTCATGTTATGCAAAAACCAAAAAGTTCCAATTTTGAAATCGATTTTCTCGAAAAACCCATTTTTAAATTTTTTTTATTTTTGTTAAAATGTAGATATGATAGTTGTCTACTCGAAAAGAAAGTCGAGAAGGTGTGTATTTTGTTTTTATGTTCTATATTCAAGCCTCAATATCGGAAAAAAGACGTCTTCGTTTTGCAAGAGCTAAGTCAGACATAGCAACCCGTGCGTTTCTATGAATTGTGAAAAAGTTTTCTTCAATTTTTGTCTGCGTTTTGTAATCAATTATAAAATCATTTCGTGGTATTTAATATTTAGTTATGTTTTAATAAGAGGGGGAAACCACGAGAAACATATCTAATCAAATCAGCAGGGCTAGTAGGCCTTCAACATCGAAGAGGCACAGACGTTGTATTGTTTCCATTTATAAAACCTTCACTGTAAACTAGCATGACTAGCTATTAGCTGTCGTATTACTGAGACATAGAAAGTCACCAGTTCATTTTATATACAATTCTTGCCGAAACCAAACGCTAGGGTTTGTTCACCGCACATCGCACAGATCGCCAGGGAATGGCCTTTAACTTCCGTAATACAGAAAAGTGATGACACAGAAACGGTTCGAAACACACGGAGGGATTGCCAGGGAGAGGGGTAGGGAATAAAAATAAATGAATAAGAATAAAATTACTCAACTCCGATCATAACTAAAATGGCGTTAAACAAATAAGAGATTTAAGTTCGAGCGGTGGCAATGCGATAGGTCCACTCCTGGTGGAGAGTCAGATGAAAAAGTCGACGACACGTAAAGGTGAAAAAAAAAAAAAAAATTAAACAAGACGGAAGACCTCAGCCGCCACACGGCAAGAACAAAAACCTACACCTCCGGGCATTCCATAAAGGGGGCACAACCAAATGCGTGCGAACATGGCTCTTTACAGCACCGTCAGGCCGCTACGCCATGACGAAATAAACCCAACAACTAAACAATGGTAACAAACAGTTAGTCGGAAAACATTAAAAAAAAAAAAAAAAAACGTTCAGCAGAATTACACCCGAGAAACGAAGTTCAGCGGAACAAAGAAACATACACGAAATAAAAAAAAAAATGTCTTAACTGACCGACGCCCAGTCTAGTCCCACGACACTGAAGCCTGGCAGGATTACGGCGTCCAGATGATGCTCGAATCTATTCTTCAATCTGTTCTGCACAGTCACGACGGCTGTGCGGAACAGTGGTTGTGCGGAACAAAGTGAAGAATAGATTCGAGCAGCGATGGCGCGTGAAGGTAAACAAGACGTAACATGCCTCGAGCTTCATATCGAGAGAGGAGCATTTCGAGGTAGTTACTGGGCACGTTAAGTCGGCGCTCCTTTACTCCTACTCTGATGCTCCGAGTTTCATACTCCGAGCGCAGCAACTAAACGGCGCATAGCGTACAAGAGCGCGACACACCGAGGCTGCGTTCCAAACCTACTCGAATGGATCTGAGTTACCCTGGCGGATTATGTCACGTAACAACAAAAATAGAGCAACGCTATACGCGGGTAGGTTTTCGATAACCACCTTTACCCTAGAGTTTGATCGAGTAAGTTTTGGAACACGGCCAGAAACTATCAACGAGCCACACGAGCTCCTTCCGATTGTGAATACGGGTGGTAGAAGCCGAAAATATTTCGAAGATAAACAATTAGGCCCGTGTGGAGCAGCAGACTCTAAAGCAGAAGAGACTGCGACGTTATCAAGTTTCTACGAACGTTTTAATATTCCTGAAAGGTTTGAAGACTGGTTTCGTGCACATATCTGGAAGGTTACCCTGGCCGATCTATTTATTGACCATGCATGCTGTTACGATTGAAATTAAAGACAACATTCTTGAACCCGCTCGTCGACGCAGGAAACCCCCAAATTTGTCAGAGATTCCCTGGTTCCGTCGGTTCCGTCTCGCAGTGAAACGGAAGCCACGCCAATACCGGCACACCGTCGTTCGATAGCACGTCAATTTGTTTTTAGGCGGTATGCGTGAACTAACCTTTCCCGCAACGCTAACTGGTGTTTCGGCTTTCCAATCTAAGTATCCTTATTCGCTGCGGCTGGGCTAAGCATTCTAAGCAGGGCAGCGGTTCGACTCTCTTTTCATCACAACTGTTCTGTCGCCGAGCTATCGGCACCTCGTTCGATAGATCACTTCGTTTTCAGGCAAAACGCACGACCTCCCCCCCCCCCCCCCCCCCCCCGAAACAGCCGCCACTCGGCAGGGCAAACACTGGCCGGCGGCGCCCAAGGGATACCAAGAGGCACCGCCCCCCCCGGCCCTGGGAGGGGGGGGGGGGGGGTGGGCTGGATTGGAGGGTCTGGTCTGCCCCCCCACTCAAAAACAAGTTGGTACGCCACTGAGAATTCTATCGCAGCTTGCTGGAGGCTATTATTGAGACGATGTAAAGCAGTGATAACCAGGGAGTTGTCGTTGAACTTCAATGTTTTCGCCACTTAATGCAACATGAATTCGCCTGTGCACAACATATTTCCCTCATTAATCCGCGATTTTGTCTTTTCGTGATCTTGGCAGGGAGTGTTCCGGGCGCTTGATAAGTGGTGCAAAACGTATGGTGACGTATTTGGGTAAGACACGTTTTGATTGATGTTACCTAATATCTTTATCTTCAACTGGTGAATCTGAATATACAAGTAACTGTTTTTTTTAATGTTCTTTAAAGCCAAGTCCCTGCGAAATACCCGACGGAAGCAATTCTTTCTAACTAGTAGAATATATGACCTATATTAACGTTTATGACCCCTGTAGGAGAGCAAAGGTTTTTTTATAAAATTCAAATGAAAGTCTCAATGAATTTTCATGTTATTTTACTATCGGAAATAAAACCACTCGGTATTTTTTTCAGCCATTTGGCTATTTTTTTAAGTGAATAGAAGACTGTGTTCATTGTCTAATGACAAGTTCATACGAATTTTAAACAACCGTATCAAGAAATAAAGTCCCCTGGCTGAAATAAGCGTAATATTAAGTGATGCTTAAACACTAAAGGCAGCTTGAGCTGCATGAGGACTCTAAATAACTTTTTTTTTTTTTTCAGATTTTACAATGGTGATGTGCCAGTGATAGTTGTGAAGGACCTCGATTTCTTGCAGTACGTCTTCGTCAAGAGCTCGTCAAATTTCACAGACCGTGGAGTGAGTATTTTCGTAGCGCTATTGTATTGCTGATGGCGGATACACAAATTAATATTCTGGGACCTATTTCCATGAATGTCACGTAAGCGGGATGGCTTTGTATGAGTCGTTTCTTAAGACGCTGACCTAAGTGTCGACTCACAGGTGACCATTCGATCGGACGAGATTCATCCATACCTCAGTCAGTGTCTGGTTCATGCCAAGGGCACACATTGGAAGAGCACGCGTCAGTGCGTTTCCTCCGGTTTCACAAGCTCCAAAATCAAGCAGGTGACTATTAAAAGCATTGTCTCCGACATTTTAAGAAGCTTGGGGGGTGACGACATTAGAGCTTCTTTATATCGCTCCACTGCCGATGATGTTGTGTTTCTAATGTTGTCCGTACAATACATTTTACCGGAGGACCCTATTCAGTACCATTTTCTACAAAGCGGTTTTATACCCTGAGGTCCCAATTACTAGAGACACCTTTTGATGATGATGGTAAGAATAACGGCTGGTTCATACACTTGCGACTGCTCACGACGGCGTGCCTTAAATTCCGAACCACATAGGGCGTATTCTCGAAACATTTACTGGCGTTTCGGTGGACGTAATCCCGACGTGCAGCGGTCATTGCGCCGAGCGCTTCCTCGACGCCCCAAGGTCGGCATAAATATGCGCGTATCTGGGGATCCGATTGGGAGAGATCTGGGCGCTTCGGCGTAATTCGGCGTGGCGTATCCGAAAGTGTACGATGCAGTGACAGCCAATCAGCTAAGAAGTTGACATATGGAAGTTGCTCGAGAGTTGGCTTGTTTATACACCAATTCGTATTTACAAACAAACCGGAGCGCCCCTAGCGGACGCCACTGACGCGCGCATGCGCGATGGCACAAGAAGCTTGCCGTCACCCATAAACAAACCACTGAAATGGAATGACGTCCGCGTCGGTGTGAGTCCCCGTGCTCTTTTTCGCATCGGATTTGTTGATTCTACGTCTTTCTGGCAATGTCTGACTACTTGAGCGGCCTCAGCGAAATCAACGAGGCTCATTACACCGCAAAACTTCGCATGAATAACGTAACATGAGGCGATTCATTCCGCGTGGACGCCGCAGAATGGACGCTAAAGCCTGATTCACTTGGTGAGGTTCTGATAGCTATTTTCAGTCATGACGTCGCTCGAGCTGCAAATGTCTGCTGCAAAGTAGCTTCGATGTCGATGTCGATACTGAAAATCGCAAGCAGAATCGGACCGAGTGAATCAGGCATAACAAGTCGGTGATGTCTACCGGTAACAATTATCAACATCTCCTTAAATCTACTGTTTACACCGCGCCTATTTACCCGAAGCAACCTTCAGACTTAAAACGCGTTTTGAGGTCTGCACTTCTAAGCGCAATTACCGGGTCAACGTTTGGTCTACGGGCCGCTGTCTCGTTTGAACGAGCAGACGACAAGCAGAAACGTTTGAGAGAAGAGACGACAGCTCGAACGACGAGGCGGCCGTTTGAACGTGGTGACGCACTGAACGTAGTCCGCAGGTGGTCCGTGCAACTTGACAGTTTCCCCGCGTTCATATTGGAACAAAATAAATAAATCTGACGACCACAAGTATCCGTGAATTCAATCCAAAGTGCTTTCCGCCCAAGTAGTCGTGGTCCGACGGCGTCTGTTTCTTTTTGTTTTTTTTTAAAGGCCCTTGTTTACGTTCTCGGACAAACCGAGGAGGCAGGAAACGAATGAAAACTGACCTTCAAACCTTTCCCGACTCTTTTGATAAAGCCCCAGTCGCGGCGTTTCGACGAGAATACAGGTTTGTGTCCGGTTTCTTCCGAAGTAAAACAGGAATGCACGTCCGCCATGGCGGCTTCCTCCCAAAGCCCCAGACCGGAAGTACGCTCGACGCGCCACCACCGCGCCGTGACGTAAAAGAGATGAGTTTGTGTATAGCTATGCGGCCGGCTCGCTGGCTTGACTCAGGAGCCAAAATATGAGCTCGCTTGTCGAGCGCGAGGGCTTATCGGCGAAATTTTCGGAAACACTGTATCTCTTCCGAACCAGCGATGCACGACTTAGGCTGAAGAAACAACCATCTATGTTGCGTAAGATATAAAAAAAAAAAAATTATAAAAGGAAGGTTTCGTGCAGAGTTTGCAGCCGTCCTCCTGCAGGGACTTGTGGACCACTTGGCGATTGCAATAATTGCAACGATCATTTTTGGATAAGGTTTTGCGAATCAGATCTTCGTGGTTGATTAACAATCAGTTATTTACCACCCCTTACGGAGTGGAATATTATAATAGCCGATGTACATTTTGCCTCGTTTCATGAAAAACGCGAGTCGGACTACGCTGCAGAAAACGCTGATGAGACGTCAACGAAATGCGCATTGTGCAGTTTGGCGACCTCTTCCCTCCTGTTGAAAACGCGCACCCGCCAAATACGGTGATTACGTCCGCTGAAACGCACGTAAATATGTTGAGAATATGTCCTATGTTGTTGGGCCTTAAGACCTTTTAAAATCTCTTGCGACGAAAGGTCACACTGGCGACATTCGCCGGGGAGGTGTGTAACATTCGTAGTTACAGTATATATCATTGGGATAAAAACAAAAACCCTCGTCAATGTTATAAACGATTACATTCAAGAAATTGTATGAAAACTTCATTTTGCAGCTACCAGAAAAAGTTCGCCCTGCAGAAATTCAGTTCCAGGAACACCTCATAGATGGGGCTAGCGTTCCAGTGTGTTTTCTTGTCGTAAGAGATCTCCAGAACTCGGTCTCAAGCAAACGCAAGTGTGTGACCAAGCATTAATGGATTCATCATCTAGTCATGGAGATTTTATGCTAGAGGCTGTGGGATTCACAGACGTCATTGGTAAACAAGGTATTGTTTTTTCAACAACGCAAGATGATGGGCCACATCGCACAAATGTGTGATGTGTTCATGGATGTCCTCGGCGAGGATGCTGACAACGGCAGAGAGGTTCATATGGTCAGCAAGTTCCAGGGGCTCACGATGGATTACCTCGGCCGAGCAGCTTTCGGAATTGACACGAGTTTCCAGCGTAATCTGAACCACCCATTCCTCATCACTGCCAAAGAGGCCGCACATGGGCTCATGACCGGCCCGGTTCACATGTTGGCTCGTAAGTTTCGGCATTTTGTTTCTGTTTCCCTGAAGAAAAAACGTTTCATTTGTCCATCATAATCACACAAAACAAAGAAGCGGAATAGATGTTTTCCAATGATCGTGCTGTAAATACTGTTTCACACGTTCGAGCATTCGGCATTGTGATTCCGGAACCAAAAAATATATCGAGTCAGTGGTTTAATTTACTACTAATATCACATTAAAGATAAGCAAAGAGCGGAGATAAAACTTAACTTACCATGCCGGAGTTCCATCGGCGGCCTTCGGTTTATGTTTACATTTTAAAGGATTAAATACAAATTTTCTAACAGAAACTCCTGCGTTTTAAAGTCAGCAGATCATGGAGGTGATCACGAAGCTGCTGGATGCGACATGCCCCCACCAGAGGGGAAGCCGGGGGAGACTTCCGGTTAAAGAGAAACACCCCCAACGATGACCAACATCAAAAGACGCTATTAAACAGACTTCGGCACATTTGAAGGCTTTTGAGCGGACTTTGGCGCCCTTGGGGGCGTTTCCACCAACCGCGATTTCTACTTCCGGCTTTACTTTCATTTTATTGTTTGGCTGGTTTGAGGCGGTATTTCACCTACTCTTATTCCCATAGGAATAAGAGGAGCGGATAAACATGATTTCCGTCGCGTCATTCGCCCAGATCTTCAGGAAAGTACAGCCTAGACAATCCTACACTCTTAGGATACTGGAGGGGCAATTGACTTCCCGCAAACCTCTTGGGTGAGACAATGTCTGTACTTTCCTGAAGAGCTGGGCGAATGACGAGACGAAAATCATGTTTATCCGCTACTCTTATTAACATGATTTTCGTCTGGTCATTCACCCAGCTATTCAGGAAAGTACAGCCATTGTCTCACCCAAGAGTTTTGCGGGAAGGCAATTGCTCCTCCAGTGTCCTAAGAGTGTAGGATTAGGAATAAGAGGAGCGGATAAACATGATTTCCGTCTTGTCATTCGCCCAGCTCTTCAGGAAAGTACAGCCATTGTCTCACCCAAGCGCTTTGCGGGAAGCCAATTGCTCCTCCAGTGTCCTAAGAGTGTAGGATTGTCTAGGCTGTACTTTCCTGAAGAGCTGGGCGAACGACGAGACGAAAATCCTGTTTATCCGCTACTCTTATTCACATGAGTTTCGTCTCGTCATTCGCCATTGTCTCACACAAGTGTTTTGCGGGAAGGCAATTGCTCCTCCAGTGTCCTAAGAGTGTAGCATTGTCTAGAAGGTTGAAGTCCCACCCAAAAGAAAAGTAATTTCTTCATTGGTACATGCCTTTCTCGAGCAATAGGGGTGCTTATATATAAAATGGAATGTCTCAAGGGGGTTCACGTTTAACTGTGGTAATTGACACAAAAAAAATACGTGGAGACTCCATAGCACCTTATTGTGACTATACCGAGTGTGCACGATTTTAATTAGCCGAGAAGAGCAACGAAAAACGCATGGCGAAGATGAAGCGCCAACAAAACAAGTCACGCCCTCAGTCTATCCAGTTGTCAGTGATCAGAGTCAGCATGTGTGTTTATTATAAACAATCTGCATGGTACTAAATAGACTGAGCGAAGTTGTGTTTATTGAGCATTCGCTATTTATTCCTTTTCCTTCATCGATGAACGTTTTTATACACTATGGCGACGTATGCTAGAAAGTGAAACCAATTACACTTTTCTCACAGTGTTTAGATATCTGGGGCGCCGTGTTCATTAATTTTGCAACGGGCAATATTTCTAATGGCACTCGTCTTTTTCGATTGAAACCAATACCCTAATTCGCCCAAGCGAACTCGTAAGATATTCTACCAGCCAACCTTCTGAAATGCTGGTTATGCCTCTAACAAATTCGTACATCGTCAAAGTTTTCCCGTAGTTTATTTTGCTTTGTTTATTCTATTTCGTTACAGAGTGCACGACTTCGTTTGGAAATTTGGCTACTCCGCTGCTATGGCTGAATTGGATTTTCGGGTCATTTCCAGTTCGAAAGTTTGCCGAACACGCGGCAAAGGTCATTCGCCTGCGGAAAAACAACCCTGAAGTGCGTTAATCACACTCCATGTTTTAAAACAACAGCTTGGTTGTTTGGGTCTGACAGCATCACTTCACAATATCTCGTGAAGTCATGGTGTCATGTGACATCACAGTGCCACGTGATATCCTAGTTTCATTCACTTCACAGCGTAACGTGACATTACTGTGCCACACGATGTAGCAACGTGCGTTAATTGGGCTAGTTGCTTCATAGTTTCGAAAAAATAAGGCGCAGAAAACAAGGACCATGATGAAGTAAGACAACAATTGCGTAGTCTTACTTCGTCTTGGTCCTCTTTGTTTCCGACGCACATTTTTTTGAAGTGACGTGATTCTGTCACATGGCGTCACAAAGTTAAGGGCGTAAGAATGCTAAGTGACATCACTATGTAAGGTGACGCTACAGTGTCACCCAATGCCGTGTCACCATTTTCCCGCTAAATTTAACGAGAAATCAATTTCGATAAAAGCCTATAGAGAGTGCTCTTTGTTTAAATATTATTAAACGCTATTGCCCCTTCATAATACACATATAAATGCGCAAGCCAGGCGAATTTCACGTGCCAGATTATATGGTGTCGCGTAAGCCTCCAAACAACATAGCGGATAATTTGCAGAATTTTTACAATGCTTGCAATGCTTACAATGCTCAAACCAGAGTTAACAGAAAATGTCCCAACATATGAAGGCTTCATTCTAGACGTATAAAAGAGCAAGACCTTTGAAAATATCAGTTGCTTGCTCACAACCGAGCGTACATGTACCTCGCCTTTCCTTTTTTCATCTACAGCTACGAAGAAATGACATACTTCAAAACCTTATTGACGCAGAGTATGAGGAACTTCCGACGACTCCAAAGACGGTTTCTGAACAAACGAAGACCACTGGGACTCTAGGTATACAAAACGTTCCCGAGGTTTCTTTTTCCAAAGGTCCCTTTCTGTGCAAAACGATCGTTCGACACTGAGACTCGCAGACGATGGCAGCTCTGAGCCGCGGTGGAAGTCAATGTACTGTAGACCCTTCTGCTGTTTACAAACACGAACCGCTGCTTGCGTCCCAAGAATTTTCCGGTCGCTCCATCTTTGCAAGCCTTTCGAGCTTGCTTATGTCACCAGTGCTAGAAAGTATAAATACTGCACAGAAAACAAATCTGGAGATTTAACGAGGGCCTTTGGCTGTACAACTTAAAATCTTGGAAGAGACAAGTTTTACGATAATATTCGAAATATCTGAACGAATATTCCGCTTCTTGGGTCCTTGGGCGTTCACCCGGACAATTGGTGGTTCAATGTTTCATTGACTTTTCAAGCAGTGGTGTTTAGGGGGTCTTTGTTTATTATTTTTATGAACCGCAAGTTCTCCCGAACGTCACAGTGCCCTATTTACTGGGAGAGTTTGGCCAATGGGTGGAGCCTGTCGCTCGCTAAAACAAGCGGACTTTACGATAACACAAAATGAAGGATTCTGCTCTTGGCCACTCCACTTTCGTGCGCTAATCCTAATGCGAGGTTAGTAGTTGTTTTATGAACACAATTCCTTGTACTATAATTTTTTTGCTAGGCATGTAATTGGTCATTATATTCAAGTACTGGCCATCCTTTACTGATCTCCAAAAACATAACTTACAAAATAGCTTAATTTCTTCTGGTTTTAAATAAAATTAGGCTTTCTCAAACAAAAAAAAAATATTCTGGCGATTGAGCTCAAGGGCTCGCAGCTGCTCTCCTAGATGGCACCCGTCACGGCACTCTATTTTAGCGGTGGTCATTTTTAGACCTAATATAGAAAGTATTAAAAATTCATTTTTCACAAAAGAGGAGTAAGTGTAAGCTCTTATAATTTTAGGAGATCGTAGCAGATAAGTAAGTTTGAGCTTCTGACTACGTGTGCAGCGTCAAAACATATACGTTAGCGGTAAACACTTTTCCAACCAGGAAGAGGCAAGGTGCCACCTCCTGGTTGCCTTACCTCCAGCTGTGGTTGTGGACTGTCGGTATCTTCAAAAGAGCGCCAAACTCTACCAGTGCAAAGGGCTCTGAGACGTCACATACAGATGTACCGCCTGGTGGCGTTTACCATAAAAAGGGTCTATAGACATTGACGGCTTAAGACATCGAAGGCGCGACCTATGATGTTCACACTTATCGCATTTGATTCGTCCTATGGTTTTAACGGAAAATGTGAGAATCGCATTCACTGCGGACAAATAATGAGGTGTTCGGAACTAGCAACACCTTGTACTTCTTAGGTTGGCAGTGACTATGCAAGCAGATATTTTCACCGATATTTTACTAAGTGCAGGGTGTGCTTAATAACGTTAATGACTCTTCCTTCGTTATTAGTCCTTTCGCCTTCTTATCACCTAACGCCATAATCACAGTGATTGTGCAGTGATAATAAGAAGTTTGGGTGTCATATCATGCCTGCGTCTTTTTGTTGTTCCTTGATGACTACTAGTCTAAAGCCACTGGTCTAACAGTTCTTAGTTTTTTGAGATGGCATCCCAAGTAGCAACGTGGTTGGAACCCAAAATTAGTTTTTTTTTTCGTCTGGCCATTTGGGCACCCCTGGAGGCCCAAAAAGTCGATATGGTACAACAAAACTTGCGCCTCTTTGGCCATTATAGGGGTATTTTAACCATACATATTGCCCAGAAGTTTAGGTTCACTGCTTGGGAGTTTGGACGTCACCTAACTTCCCAGGGCCACAGTTTTTTTTTTTTTGTAAAACATGAAGTGGGAGTTAAGTTTTCTTTGATTTTCATCAGCTATGTATCCCTATTGAAAAATCTCCTTTTTATAAAAAAATATCTGTGTTCAATAATCACCTGTGAATCATGCAAGATACAAAGGAACATATAAGAACCATATAAGCGCGGTATAAGGACTACATAAGATATACAAGAACATATAAGAACCATATAGGGGAACTTGTAAGAAGTTTCCTAAAAGTCTCTTATATGATTCTTATATGTTCTTATATATCTCATATAGTTTTATATAGTTCTTATATGATTCTTATATGTTCTCATATATCTTGTATGATTCGTAGTGCTTATTGGACAGAAGAAAGTTCTCATACAGATAGTTTTTCACTAGGAATATGGGCATTAATTGCCAAACACGTGCCGAAGTTAAGATTCACAGCTCGGTCGTTGAGTCGTCACCGGGCATTTTAGACCTCGGTTTCCTAAAATATTTAAGAATTAGGCTTGAGAAATGTAGATCAGTTGTGACATGGCATTTTAGGTTCATGTCTGGCATTTTAACAATTATGTGACGAGCAAGAAAAAAAAACAGACTTGCCATATCATTTTCCAGTTAGGGCCGAAGAAAAAGATTTTGCCCATCATTAACGTCCTGTAGGGAAACCTAGCTAAATTCAAGTTAGGCCCTTAGGATTACCGAACGTGGGCCAAGTCAGGCCTTTTTTTCCGTGGTGCTTGGGATTGTCACAATACTTAAGGCGGAAGGTGCGCGAACTTGGTTATGAAGAGGCGTTCTGGCATGTAGGGCAAAATCCGCGAAGAAAAGCATTTATACGGGGTGAGTGAGGCCTCAAGGACCAGCACATTTTGCACACCTCACCATATTAGAATTCCAAACATAAACGCTAAAGACTGGGCTCGTGAACGCCATTGCGCAAGAAGTTGTATCTAAATATTTTAGAGCTCATCCAGTGAATCATGAAGGCTTCAAGTAATCTCCTTGCTCATGCTGTACATTGGAATCGCTAACTCGAGATCTAAAAAAAAAAATATTTTTGAAGTTTTTTTGAGGCGACATATGGGGCAGAATATTCAGTATCGGGCGTTTAGTTGTCGGGTTCCGTTCCGACGATGGTAAAGCGTCCGAGTTCTGAAACGCGCGACTCATTTACGAGCTTGAATAAACAGCCTAAACCATTAATGGGCACCCCGGACGTATTTTGAAGGCCATATTTGAATCATTAATGTTTTGCGCTGCCACCAATTTTAGAAGAATTAAGAATGCAACCTGTTCCAGGCAGTGACAAGATAAGGAGACTACGTTTTGAAGAAGTGGTGATGAACACGACCCTTCTATTCCTCGCCGGGTGAGGCTACACAGCTTTTAGCCAGCAAGGTCGGACTGTTCAATTTGGGACGTCACTTAAACAAGGCCAACATGGTGCAAAGATTAATATCAAGTGCTGTGCCAGCGTTGAAATATGACTCTTTATCTCACTGACTGAACATGACTCTCAGCCGAACAATGACGCAGCACTGGTTTGTAATTAGTGCCGCGCGTTGGTCTTCTTTTGGTGAGGTCATAAATTTATCAAAACAGCTCTATATATGTAGGATGTGTTAAATTTTTTTTTCTGAATTGTATTGCTGGTTTCTTGAGAACCTCAATGTCCCAATTTGAAAACATTCATGGTTGTCTTTAATATATTATCTTATTTTTTGTTTATTGTGAGGACTCGTTGCTAGTTATAGGTGTCACATTTTAATGTAAACAGTAACTTTGACACAGGATATGCATATATACGTTTTGTTTTTGCACAGTTCTTCTAGAAAGCAGCACACACCTTGAAGCATGTGGTAGTAGATTGACACAGTGAAGATACAAGTGAAGCTGCTCAATTCAATTCGCAAAGACAATGTTGCCTTAAAGGGGCAGTGCAACGATGTTGGGTAGGAATGTTTTACATTCAACACAAGCTTGGTACTACAGGGAGCCATGTTTACTCGCGCACAGTGCCGCTGATCAAGTAGCTTCTTTGTCTCCACGTAATTTCAAAGAAAAAACTGGTTGTTTTTTCTCAGTCTCTCTTTCGCAAACGTTGGTGGCGAAGCTTTGGAGATTGTATTGTTGGTGTTGTGAAAAATTCTATCCTCAGGATTTCATCATAAAGCGGTGCTTTACCCGAGTTGAGAATATTAAGATACGGCTCATTTAGTGGTCAGAGGCACTACGTAAGCATTCAATAAATGGCAGTGAAAATCAAAGCCTCACCTTGATTCGGGTAGTGGCTCCTACCCAATCCCAACTATGACGGGATTAGCCGAACTTTAACATTCTGTGGATTTCAGCGTGTGCCCTCTAGTTTGTTAACCCAGTTGCTGACTATGATATACATCGGAATTATAATCGGCTTCAGGTCGCATGACCGCTTCTTCTGCCTGAGAGTTGAGGGGGTGAACTTGCTCGTTTTTCTTTAATTTGTTTCCGCGACTTCCATTGAATGGAGAGAAACACGGGCCTGTTTCTTGGGTTATAAATGCCCAGAAATAATATAGGGCGGTATTTACTTAAACTACACACATTGTTGCACCGTCTCTTTAATACATAACAGATTTTTGAGTTGGTGGGTGTCAAATCCAACTAGGACAAGCAAAAAATTACCTTTCTGCCAGAAGTACGTTTCCCTAAAATGTCCACGTGGTTTCTCTGCTGCTTTTAAATATTTGCTGCACAAAGGTTGTGAACAGTGATTCAATCATAAGTAGTTAGGAGATGAAATGTCTTAACATTAAGATTGTTTTCACAGAAAAATCCTTTTGAATGTGCTCTAATAAAGTAAAATTCATCTAGGTTTGAAACGACTGCGACTGCACTATGCTACGTCACGTACGCACTCGCAAAATACCCGGGTGTTCAGGAGAGAGTTAGAAACGAGGTGAATGAGGCACTCCACGGCTCGGTAAGCTTAAATAGTTCAATAAAAAACTCACTCCGGGAAAAAACAAAACAAAAAAACAGTGGCATTTGCACCTACAGCTTTTGTGTAGATGAAACAGCTGGGCGTGTGTAGCTATGGAATGTTACGTTTTAAATTCAGAGAGGTGGCCGTTGTCATCTGTCGTCGAGAACACCCCTCGAGAGAGCTGTTCGGTCAGGGATGTTGGCTTGGTGGGGAGCGGTGGGAACATGAGAGCAGGTTATTCCAAGGTCGCGATGGTTTAGGCAGGAGAGAAGTCGGAAAAGTCAAACTGATGCCACCTAAATTGGCCTTGTTGGCGCTGTCGCCGATCGCCGCTCTATTTGACGTGGATTTCGCCTGCATACGGTGAACCGCAAGCGATGATAGCGCTTTCTCATTGCCTCTTGACTGCGTGTAAACGCAAGCGTGTGTACAAACTTGTAACAAACGCGCTGCATCCGCCCGCCGCAATTGAACGCACTGCGCTCAAACGCGACTGTGTGTATGCGCCTTCTGTTTCTGCATTTCCCCTGTTGTCTCAAGACAGACGAGGAAGGAGCAGGCGATAAACCGACCAGTACAGAAATGATATATGAGCCTCATCAAGAAGGAGGAGAGTAAGGTATCATAAATAACCGTCCGTTTGGGCCTGCTTACGACCGATTGTGCAGCTGCGCACCCGGTCGTAAGCAACCAAAATATGACGGCTATATAAAATCTCATTTGCCCAATTCTTGATATGGCGATACATGTCATTTCCGTACAGGGACCATTCGAGAAAGCCGCGGTGACGCGTGCCAGGAAGGCGGATAATAAACGTGAATATCGCGGCGTTTGTCAAAAAAATAAAGTTTTGAATATGACCATGTTTGATTAACCTGAGACCGGGGTAGAACAGAGACACCAAAGCGTAGAAGAGACAGAAAATAGACAGACGACCCCCATATAAAGTTCTTCACATCTCTACTCCAGTCTCAGGTTCACCCAACATCGTTAATATTCACCAGCTCGCCTGCATCCTTATGCTATTTATTTTTTTATATCACGGCTTGATTGACAGATAGATCAGCACATGTTTTCAGTCGCGAATGCCGCATTAACGTCGAACGCTATTTGCAATAGGTTCCGGCCCGAATTTTCGATAAGATAATGCGGCTACAAACGATCTTCCCCAATTCCGACTTTACGTCTAATACTTCGCCTTTTCGGGTTGAAATTGAGTGGAAAACGTTGCAGGCAGCCTCAAATGTTCAATGGAACAATCGAGAATATGTATTTTTCCCATAAGAGCTGTCGTTTAGAGGTACGATCATTGTCTCTAATAGTCTAAGAAACGCAAGCCGTGACGTTTTCACTTAAATATTTGCTTAGCTATTCACTTTTCAGCCTTCCCTGTAAGTTTATCCGGCAACCTCATTAGCTGAAGAGTGCTCATAGTATTCTCAAACCTCGCCGCGCACTGAGATTCTTAATATCTCAGTAGTTATAGGAGACGCATATGGAAAACCTGCTTTGCGCAGGCGGATATCCTCTCAGTCGTCGGTTACTAACATATATCCTTCTGTTCGTTTCAGGGATGTCTTGATTATGAGGCCGTGACACAGAAACTGAAGTACCTCGGACAGGTTGTGAATGAGGCGCTGCGGCTTTGGCCGCCTATACTCACGTGAGCGTACATTAAGCACTTCGCTCTCATCGGCGCAGGAATCACAATTTGGAAAAATACTTTAGTTCATTTGGGGCGCGTTTTATCGGCATAATATTAGCAGCGCTTTTTAGGACTGAATGGAGAGTCTCCTCTTTTTTAAGATATTTGGAGAGTCCACTTTCCCAGGAAGGACTTGGGAGAGCCAACTGCTGCATCCTTCGAAAGAAAGTTCGGCAAATGAGGATGCATAAAATAGGTTCAGACCTTAAAAGCGCAGTCTATACCGTCACGCTTAGCATAGCGGTTTACCGGGACAAGTGCCAGACAGCAGAACGTCTTTCAACTTGCTAATTACATCAGCACTACCGGTGAAAAATTATTATGGTCTGACAAGATGTTTCCAATCACTCAATCTTCATTTTCCATCTCGTATCTCCAGATTTAGCACAAGGCAGGCGACAGAAGACTTCGAGTACAAGGGCATCAAGTACAGGGCCGGCACTTGCATCATGTCCCCCACCCTTCAGATCCACAGGGACGCGAGATTCTTCGCCGATCCCACGAAGTTTGACCCAGACAGGTAAATACACCGTACTAATCCCCGAACATAAAGCATTTTAGCAAACTACCTAATGTAAACTCAACACAGTTATATCGATAAAAAACAACCAAATCCATGGGAAATAAAAAAAATATATTGGGGGGGGGGGGGGATGGCGGGACGCAGGTTATGTCCCCCTTGTTTAGTTATTCTTTGGTTTTATTGCACCCTGTTTGAAAATCTTGATGATGCAAAGATGATGGAAAAAGTGTCATACAAGCGTACCCGTAATTTGGGACACCCTATACGAGCAAAAGTCGGTTCCAGCATAGTGGATTAATGCGGAACGTTAAAGGCAGACGGAACGATACAAGCGTGTCGTATTAAGGGACATCCTATACCAGCGTAGTGGATTATGACGAAACCATGAAGGCGCACGGAACCATACAAGCATAACATATTATGGGAATCCTATACCAGCGAAAAGGCGATACCACCATGGTGGAACCGTATGGCTCCATCCTTATGGCATCACCTTTTCACTGTTATGCAGGACGATGTTTTTAAGCTTTACATGTTTGTTTAAAAAGTTCATAAAAGCTACAGTTATGCGGTTTGCGCAGCTGAGTCATATGGCCAGGGGTACGTAGTATGGGGGCCTATTTGTAACGATCAGTTTGATAATTAAAGACAATTTGTTAATTAAATTTTTAATTAGTGAAATGAACAGATGTGTTCAATTAGAAACTTGATGAGAGTCATCGAAAACCACTAAATCCACTCGTTCTAGAAGGTTACAACGCAGGGGTAGCATTTTACGCGTTCTGTAAAAATGCTTCATTTGGATGCGTTTCTAGGTTTCGGTTTCTTATCGCAGCTCATCTCTTCGCCCACGGTCCTGTTGCCGAGGGGCTTAGACGCGAAACACACGTGAGCCATGCTTCCCTCCATCCTACGAGGGAGGCCAGGGGGTGGCTTCTCACTGCGGCCAGCGTGCAGCAGGATTGCAGGCGCAAATATGCGCTCTGATAAGAAACCGAAGTCTGGAAACACGCCCAAATTGAGTATTTTTTTAGAACACCGTAAAATGCTGCTCCTGTCTTATATATCTTTATAAAAAGAGATAGCTTATTTGTTCTTCGACGAGGCATAGCAAGTTTCTAATTGGTACCATGGGTCTATTTTCACGAAACATACCCAGGATTTTGGGACAGGAGCGCGCCGACACTACTTGCGCCATCTATCGGCAGCGGTGGCGGGACGGCCCGTAACTCAATGGGACGAACTAGATATATTTTATTTCACGAAACTCTAAGCGGTGCATTATATTGCTCTTAGCGCACTTTTTTAATAGACACCTTTTCTGTTCATTGTGCTAAATTTAAGGACTGTATGTCTAAGATAAATAGAGCCAACTGGCAATCGGAAAAAAATGCATTATACGTATGGGAGTACACACTAAACATTTTCACGCCCTTATTGGTGTAAATGGCATGGGTCACAACTCACCCCCTTATTGGTGTACAAAAACGCCCTAGAAAAATTGTGTTATTTCTCACACCCTCAAAAACCGGTGTAATCCCTTACACCCTACACAGAAAGGAGTGGTTCTGCTCTACACCTATTTATTAGGGTGTGATGGCAGCAGTACACCCTACCAAAAACGTGTACTGCAGCTAGAAGAGCATGGTGGGTAAACCCCGAGACTAGTGACAAAAAAATTGGGAAAACACAATACTGCCTCAAAATGTCTTGAGACGTGTTGTGTTGTCCCGATTTTTTGTCCTAGTCTTGGGTTTTTTTCACTATGATCCTTCACCAGCTCGCCTGCGCAGTAACTCTCACTTCATTCAGCTACAAGAAGTCATACTAAATGTGTAACACAGCACTTCATCAAAAAGTATTTACGGAGAAATGATTGCTAACAAATTGAAACATGTGGAACACTTTATTTTTTGAATCCAGAAAAAACGTGCATGGACCTCATCTTCTTCTTTCGCGAATTCGCGAGAAACCCATGTCAAACCTCAAATGCTGGCATTTGTGACCTAGTGTTAAGTTTTTGTGACAAAGCTACAAAATTCTTCGAGGCTTAAAATAAATGCACTCAAACTTTAAATAAGGCTTTCCTTCGCCTAAACCTACTTTAAAGCTTTCTAGCTCTGCTGACGTAGGCAAAACTCGACAGGCTGGCAGAGACGGAACGACCGGGAGTTGATTGAGGCGTAAGCAGCAGTTCATGCTTGTAAACAGTAAAATGGTCTATTGAGACGGAAGCAGGACTACTACCAGAAGCATGCTTGCAGAGCACTTACAAATAAAACACCGATCTCATGTAATCCGTGATAGTTGCATAATCCGGTTCGGGCACCACAGAAAAATTCGCAAACACAACGTCCAGGATGAAGGCGGTTGCTCACATTCAACGGAACTCTCGCCGTCGCCGATGAGCAGCTCTCTGTCGTGATAGATGCACAATCCGACTCGGGCAGCACAAAACTACGCAAACACAATGTCGAGGATGAAGGCGGTCGATCACAATCAGCGGAAGTCTCACGAGCGCCGACGAGCAGTTAGTTCTTTGTCGAAACGCGTCCAACAAACACAGCACAATAATTCTATACCTCCGACGAAATTCACAAATATTACCAAAAAATTAGTATGAACGTATTCCGGCCGTTCAAGACGAAAAACCACGGCTGCGACTGCAACGCACGAAAAACAGAAGAACACTGACGCCTGACGGAAGCTTTTTAGAAACCGGACCTACGTGGCCCCTACACTCACCGTAATTTGGAATACGGCAAAGACTTCGGCCCCAGTGAGCCCATCAGCGCGTCGGAGCGAGTCACGTGACATATTATAGTCCAAGCGTCCCTGTCCCACGGAGAACGGTCACGTGTTACACACCACCCCTCTGATTTGCTAGAAGCGGCCTTCGCACTCGCTCACAGCCACACGAAGACACAAAAGAAGGTGTGGAGGCTTATCAGAAGACGAGGTCAAAGAGGGGTGGACAAAGCAGCTAATCTCCCTCTGCGGCTTTGTATAAGCCACCTGGGCTGCCCAAGGAGGGTCGGAAAATGGGACACGTCAGGACTTGCTTCACGCAGTGGCGTGCGTGCTCTGATGCCGACCGCGAAATCACGAAATAAATAACATAAAACAAATTCGAACGCATGAAACAAGAGATGCAATTTCACCCGTACGAAAAAAGAAAAAAAAGGAAAAAAAAGCGTCGGGAGGCTAGATATTTTGGTGTCAACTAAGGATCGCGTACTATAGCCGGGGTGTCATAAATTCGGCACTTTCGATTCTCTTGCGGAATTGTTTCGTTAGAACTACACACAAAAATAAAATCTCAGTGAAGGTGCTATAAGTAGTGCGAGGACCAGTCAGGTGAGTTTGTAATACACGAAATGAGGGCGCCACGGCCCATAGTTTGTTCAGTGGTTCAGCGCAGGAGGTCTTTCTCTGGTTAAAAGTAAGCAGATTCCGTTTTGCTTCATCTTGTTTTTCTTTTCTTTTTTAACGTCGGATTTTAGGCGGTTAATAAATAGACATACCTCGCCGGCATAGGCCATTCATGCGGGAATCTTGACGCTCAACCAAAAACGGCATCGCCTACGGTATGTCAGGATGGCGTCGCCGCGACCCATCCTTTTTTTCACAGATATTGGCTGGACCAAAATGGTAACGGCGCAATTTTTCATATTTGATCCTATATCGGCGCAATGCTGTGTGCTGTTTGGGTTGTATATTGACACGTCTTCGTTCATCTTTTGCGAGTGGAGATGTTTTGTTTTTAAGTCGAAGTTGAACTGATGAAACTGACGCACACGCGACACGTAATTTTCGGCTCCTCTCGGACGAAGAGTTCGTTCGGAGTTGCAAAAACTATACTCCATCACTTCCTAACCATACGCGACTTCGTGTAGCGATTAATTATACTGGATGTTTATACCGCCGTACATCAGCAACAGTTTCAGCAAAGCAATAAGCATTAACGGATATGAAATCATGGGTGGCATCACCATAACGCCCCTTTCACACCGTGTTAATACAGGGCATATAATTCGCCCATACACCCTTTTTACGCGATTTCAGACGCCATCGCAATAAGCGAGGTCGTAAAAGGGTGTGGAAGGGATGAAAAACATCAGCACACCCTTTTTACACCCACCGATATTCAAATATCGTGTAAATGAAGTGTAAGAAGGGTGTTTTTCCTAACTTACACCCTTTTTACACGATTATGGGTGTTATAATGTTTAGTGTGTACGGTGATTTACAGAGAAATATTTGAGTTAAAACTCTATTTACAAACTAACTACTCCGTATTCCGAGTTGCTCTCAACGGTTATATAAGCTCCAGTTCTCCAGCTACATCATGGTACTATTTTCTTCGCAATCCGTTAATTCTACAAAGCGCCCAGGTCATTAAAAGAACAAAAGGCAGGGCTTTGTAAATGAATTCAGGGCTGTTTAGAGCAGTAAAAAGCTGTTTCTCGCGCATAATAAGAAAGTAACTGAATTTATATAACCATAAATGGTGCATGATAGATGTGCATCACTCATTCCTAGCACATAATTGCCAAACCCCCGGGGTTCGAACCTGGGGTTCGAACCTGGGGCTCCTGAATAAAAAATATAAATGAAATACGAATTTGTTTTGCGTTGGAGCATGAACGTTTCTCCAGGACGTGAAAGCATTTTTTTTTGTAAGGAAGATACGATATTACATCTAATTTCTCAAATCAAGGTAAAAAAAAAATATCAAGCAGCACTAACGCCACGCACACGAAAAGAAAAATTATTACGCGGACTTCTACCGCGCAGTTATATTAATGATGTGTTTTTTAAGTGAACGTGTGAACACATTTTTGAGTTGCCGTTCTTCAACGAGTTATTTAAATATGACCATAATGTAATTAATTAAAATTCATCTTAATCCTTTGGGCATACTCAAGACACAAAATGAGCAGCGTGTTATGAGCTGCGCTGCGTGTTTGTTTATGGGATTTTCTAAACCCTTTCAT